TTTAAACCCAAATAATGCAAAGGAACAAACACATCCTTAATGTTTAAATTATCAAAAACAATACGAGCGAGTAAAAAACTAAAAAACAATGCAATGATATCGATATTATTGAACATTATGTGGAGGAGTTTTTTCACAACGTAACCTATAATGTTGAGATATTAGATTCATATTGTGCGTATCTTTGCCGCAGTGAGCACTCATTTCTTGATCACCGAGATCGAGATCGAATCAATGTTTTTAGGAATTTGTGAGCGCCATTCACTTGCTACACACCCACCGCACAAACCACATTCACCCACTGTCTGAACATCGCCAAAAAGCCATTGAAGTTCGTTCCATAGAGGATCCCCAACCATAAAATACGCCTGCGCAAATGGCTCGGCCTACAATGACACATGTTTTGCACAATTACAATACATTAAATGATACATGAATTCTTAAAAAAAGTATGTAGATGGATGCAACAATTATACATTTAAGACTTCATCCCAATTCAGTGTAGGACCAAACATGTATTCAGTTTTGTAACATCAGATAAGCTCGTGTTTTATAGCAACATATGCATTACGCAGTAGCGCTTTTGATATTGTAGAAAGTGAGTTTGACACTCTACATATTTAAAATCAGTACTCACCTTTTGATTAAGCAACTCGGTGGACAATAAAATGTAATGTACATTGTATTTACTAGATGTAAGTTATTGGACAAACAACTCCACGTATGCAATACCAATTCTACCGTCCATTGACCTTATTGCAAAAGATTGGACTGGTTGTATCGCGGACGCCCATTCATTGAAGTGTCCTCCTTGGTGGGGGCAGTCTGAATATGTAGCACAAAGTAATTGGATCAATCAATAGATTTGTAGATGACGAATTAAAAAGATTCAATAAAATACCATTTTTACAATAGAAATTCATATCATTAAAACCACACCCTATTCATATAATCAGGCATTCAACAACAAGAACATCAAAACAATTTTGAAAATCCCTAGTTCACCTCTAAAAAATAAGTCCCGAAAAAAAATGTATATTGCCAAGACGATTGAGACCGTGATTCATAGTTCCTCAATTAACTGAACACATTTCTCATTAGGCCGTCATTCACAAATCTCTAAAAAATATGAAAATTATGCCTCAAAATTAGACATTAAGTCCCTAATAAAGAAAATAACATGGATATCAACAAAAATTGCGACTTTTGAGCCTGGGATTTCGTCTATTTCGCACGAAATAGATGAACATTGAACAATAAAACATATGAACTCATAGGATTTGAAGGTTGAAAAGGGCATTTACCTAGAATAAAAATCGCTAGGATTTGAAGTCAAGTCGATTGAGACATGAGACGATCAACGGGTAGTTCCTAATATCGAGGCATTCCAACCCAATGATGTTTAACAAACAAATGGGCAAGGTTTGATTCCAGTTTTGGCGTCTGCCGTTGCTCTCTACCTTGCTGATTTCTTCCAAACGAGATCGGCGAAATGAGGGAGGTCCAGGGTTTCAAAGCAAATTTGGGTGCTTTTGAAAGGGGTAAAATAATCCTTACACATGTATAGAAACAAGATACACATTAGAAATAAACATCTGATAAAATTAATCCTGCCAAGTCAAGAGAGCAATGTAACGTAACATTATTTAATCTTGACAGTGTTTCCTTTCTTTTTTTTGGACTTCATAAAATAGTCTTATCCAGTCCCACAAAGTGAACGAGCTTTGAAAGTAGGATTAATTGGATGGGCATATTGGGATCGGGATAATGTACCCGGCCATAAATCTTCAAAGGAAACATGAGTTTTCCATTGATAAATGCTATTACCCGGTTCCAGCTCAGTTAGCCCAATTAGTAAACGATCTCTTAAATAGCTAGAAACATCAAAATGTACACTACCTGTTA